AAATGAACATTACAATATGAATACTTGAGTAGATAGTATATTACTGTAGGAAATACTAAAAACTTTACAGAATTCATGTTAATTCTTTGATGAATGAAACAAAACACATACCAAGTGTTTACTATCATTTCAATTTGACCATCCTGTGCTAAGGATTAGCATGAGCTCTCGAATTCCATTTGTTATCCTTGATTTTTAATATGTAAGGATATAGCTTGCTCCATGAAAAGAGCCCTTCATACTGGTATTCCAGTGAGAAGCAATTCCATCTCCAGGCTATAGTAACTCATAAGCCTGCTGAAAGCTGGTAATAAATGCCCTAGAGACACAAAGTTAACAATCAGTTTGCCATATGAAATAATACAAACCCTAACCAACATAGCCTCTTCTAATTATCAGTATCAATAGAAGCAGAAGTTATCCAGTATAACCCAGAACTTGCTGAAACAATTCAGAGTCCTTGCCACTGCATAGGCACCCTTTCCAGAAAGATTTGTGTGCTTACATGAAAATAAATATTTTCAGTATCAACTACCTCTGGATTACTCTAAATTTCGGATTAGAATCTAGCCAAATAGTGTTATATTTTCAAATAGTTTTAATTAGAATTTCAACCTATTTTAAAATTCAAAGCACTAATATAATTTATTGCATTTATCAACATATACTCATTACTGTAAAACTTGCCTAGTAGAAATATCTACCTGGTTGTTTTTCTTGTTTAAAGCAATGTGGAGGCTTAACTGCCTGTCTATTGATGAGCACCTAGAAAGAAGATATAAACCATTTTCAGGGGAAAACATGCATGCATTTATTTTTAAGAATTCCCAGTAAGGGGGAAAAAAAATTCAACATCTTTAAAAATGTGTTTATTTTTTAAAAAATCAGTTGTGTACAAAAGTGTTTCGTAGTTTTTAATTCTCAAGACAAATACCCAACCCTCCACCCCCAGCCCACCCTGCTTCAATAGTCTTTCTGGTAACCCACCCAATTTTCCCCTTACAGGAAGTTAACGGCTCAGAATAGATCCTCCTATAGAATTTATCATCACTAACAGATTGTTTAGAATAGAGATCTAGAGAAGCTAACAAGCAAGATTCTTTCTCAGTGAAGTTAATGAAAATCCCTATAATGGCAGTAGACTTCCAGCAGACACCACAACAAAGCACCATCAATTGCTGAAAGCTAAAAAATAGATATTATTTTCAATAGTATTTCATTTTCTATTGGAAAAGTCTTTAAATTACATTAAATAAGTCTCTTTCCCCCCAAAGAAATAGTCTAGCTTTTATTATGATGCCTGTAAAAAGTAGGTAACAGCAAGCACACAAGGATCATTTAACAGCACAGTGCAAATGATATGAATCCACTCACCCCCTAGGACCAAACCGATAAACTGTGCCACACCTGATTATATACAGCAGCATTGAATATATACATATATATGTATATATTCAATGCTTGGTTGAAATAACCAAGCAAAAGGTGACACATTCACAACTTACATTTAGGTGATGATCACAGGTTTATGAGGGTAGATCAGTCCAACAGAGCAGTAACAGAGCAAATGGGACAAGTGAGATACTGACATTCCCCTACCCTTATGCCACAAGATTTTTGATCCATATTGCAACAGTGCAAACAGAACATGTGACATAATATGTAGACACGGCAGAAAAGTCACACTTGAAGAAAGGCTATTTATCAGTAAATACTTCAAGTTACCTTCTTCCCCAAGTGAGAGCAAATAGCTGATGTTAAGCATTTATTTTTAACTGGTACTAAAAGAATGGAAATGCAAATTTTTAAAATCAATGGTTTGTACCCTGGAATTGAAATTTCTTGAACTAGAAAAAGTGATTAAATACAACAGCATTTTGTAAAACTCCATGAAATCAAGTTAACTGTAAACAGCTTCCTTTTCCTATCCAAACATTGTTTCCGTCTAGGTACAAGAGTATACCTGGCTCCAACTCTTCCAAGCCCAAATCCATCTTTAAAACACCAAAAAAAAAAAAAAAAAAAAGTTTTTGTTTCCAGTGCTAACAAGGATCATGGGACATTATTATACCCCTATTGTAGAGTTTTAAAAGCTCAAATCAGGCATACACTTAGAGCCAAGAACTGCTTTTCACACTGATAAACTTACAAAGCAGCAGTAATATGATATGCTGCATTCTGTAGTGCATAAATAAGCAATATCCATTTTATCTGCCAATTTTTTCTTATACTTTAAAATTATTTTGCATAGTTTTAAGCACCATCAGCAATCACAAACGTGAAATACTTCCAAAAAAAGAAAAATTATGTCTTTCATTCCATAGATAACTCTCCTCAAAAGCAAAATGGTCAGAATACAAACACACATATATATACTTGAACGTGTTATGTGTTTAAGTAAATCATAGTCACAATTCCAAACATTTGGGGGAGCCAACACAGAGCATCTGATTTAGTACCAGTTTCTCAAATATTTATATATCTTACCGTATACTTATTTGGGTCACAAATTGCTACTCATTCATTTAGTCATCTGTACTGAAATACTATATAACTATTATTTGTTCTTTTAAAGGTCAGGCACATACTCAGTAAACAGACCTGATTACAGTAAAAGCCTATAGGAGTATCAGTGACTTGTAGCAAATCTGTCTGCCCTAAAATGGGAAAAAACTATTTATATTTTTTAGCATAATTTTTGAGGCCTTCACAACTGACAAATCACAAATGATTGAGAATTATAAAAATAATTTCCATCAGGGTACCTCTTCCCTAGACCTGCACTTTTAATGTTCTTTTTCCGAACATATATAAGACCACAGAAGAGAGCAACTGCCTTTACTTCTATGTTTGGGAAATAAATCTACCTGTAGAAAAATAGGAAAAAAACAAAAACAAAAACAAACAAAACAACAGAAGGTGACAGTAGGAAATGTACCAGAAAAAGAAAGAGATTATCACATTAAATGTAAATGAGGTAAATTCTAGAAATGAAAAATCCATTATGAAGAACCTCTTATACAAAATATTGTACTTTTCAATTTCCTGGGCACTGGGGATATTGAACTGTAGTTAGATGAGTAAACCCTAAGGGGCTAACGTGCATAAAAGTCATAGGCAAGGTATAGCTGCCTCCAAGAGCAAAGTATATAATGCTTGACCCTTAGTAAATTCTCAGTTCTTTCTCTCTCATTTGTCAAACCACAAGACAATTAAATATACCCTGATAAAATAGGCAAATAGTAAACTGGGTAGAGGTGTCTGATATTTAAAATAATCCAAATATTACTAATATTACCAAGTCACCCACCACTAAAAAAAAAAATTAATTCTAACCAACAATGGAACAAAACTGTCCACATTTTCACACAATTCCAACCTTACTTCAAAAATATAAAGAAAAGTACATGGTTTTAGCTATTTAAAATAAATAAAGAAAAATCTTGTTTCCTTTGGCATCTTTAGAAAGTAACTAAACTACAACAAAAGGAGGTGATTGTATAAAGAAATTTATACTTAAGCAAACATATAGGGGGAAAAAACAGCAACTTGTGTTTAGTATGCAATAAAATCAACTACAAGAGTTTACTATTGATTAGGAAAGCCTTACAAGTTGTTGGAAGAACCTCCACATCTTAACATTACAATATATTTAATAATGGTTCTTTTATTGCTTCTAAGATTATTGAGAAGTCAAATGAAATTATGCTGAATTTATGGTTCAAAACTATTTTCCAAACACTTAACCATTATAATTTAGGATAAGTAACACTTGAAGAAAGCAAACCTTTTATAATATGACTTTCAGTACACAGCCTTACTTTAATTCATTCTGATTCAATTACATTTTTGTTATTTTTGCATTGGTCCTGAATATGTAATAACTGTGTTTCTATGTATAGAACAGCCTACACAAATCCATTTCACCCTTCATAAAATGGTCACATTAGTGTTTGAGCTTGCAAAACTAATAATTTTCAAACTTTTGAACTTAGAATGAAATGTAAGTTTAATACGTATAGAAAGTCTGACTATGTACAAGAGAAGGTAAAGTTTTCAATTCTCATATTATCAGAAACATCATAAAGAAAGCTAGATTTATAACACACTTCTATTCCTATGTGCATCTGAAGTATGTACAGTAAAACACCAACACAGCTTTCATGTGTCAATAGGGGGAAATGCACGCAAGAGTGACTTTTAAAGGATCTGATAAAGCAATCTCTTATAAAGCCAAAATTAGGCTTAAAAAACTGCTAACAGTTGATTTCACCCTTGCAAGTTGTCAAAGAAAAATTTCATCAGTTTAAAAATAGAAAGATGTTAAATTCACTGAAAAATTAAGCTGGGTTCTTTCATTAAATCTGGGAATACTGCAACATCAAGTTTTTACTGTTTTTGCAAGAGAAACGAAACTGGCATCTCCATTTTTACATTATTACTTATATATGAAAGTTCTAAGAGTGAAGAATTGTGACAAAACATCCCAAATGGACAACCTAAAAATGGAGCAAGGGATACTGTCCCTCAGCACATTTCCCCACCAAATAGAGAAATTTACTATTAGAATATTAGCTGTGTGTGGTAAGAGGGGAAAAACAGATATGGTGTCCCAGTCTGTTGACAAGGACAAAAAGGCTCTGAATAGGTCACCATCTTCAATTCTGAATAATCTCATATTTAAGAATTCTCAAATGCTTAAAATGGTGGTCTTTTCAGCTACCCATCCTAAGAAGTCAAGTACAAGCATGCAAGTAAATTCACAGGCACAGAGGATCCATGTTAAAAACAGTTAAGGTAGCTGTGATGCAACACCAACGATTTGAATGGCCCTGACACACTCAAAATATTATCTTAATTATTCAACAAAATCCTGAAGCAAACTCTTGCTAGTCTTGGTACACTGCTAAACACTAAAGTAGCATGTTTTTTCCATGGTTTTAGCTTAGCTCAAAGAATTTTTACACTATTAAGTAAGAAAAAAATTAAAGTATTTCCCCTTTTTAAATTTACAGAGACGTTTAATTAGCTTTATTTACAGAGCAGAGATTTTTTTTCAGTCTCCAATGGTGCCTAGATAACATCATTAGGCAAGAATGCCAGTTTAAAAGAAATCTACGCAGAATCCTAAAAATAACAGATGTTGATCCTCCTCAAGAAGGGGCAAGCTTGACTATATCAGCAGCTCTATGTCTCAGTTACTCAGAAGCAATTCTGTTGCAGTCTCTACATCCCAAGATTTTGAAGACAAGGCCACTATTACTGCATTCTGTAGAAAAGGGGACAAAATAAATAAATAAATAAAATCTCAAGGAAATATTTTTAAAATACTGCATTACCCACTGTATTTATATTAAGAAACCACACGTTATTTTTTCATTTTTAAGTTACCTTGCACTTCATAAAAAGAAGCTTCTAAAACCAATGACTGGAACCAGCCCCCCAAAAAAGAGAAAGATCACTGGTTTTAATAACAAAGTTTGCTTACCAAAATTAGATTTAGGGTATTTTTTTGAGCCACTTTTGTCAGCCAAGGATTTGCAGCAACAATTTAATGAATAAGTAAAAATCAACATGCCTTTATGTACTTACCCTATCAAAGCCCATAGCACATAGGTTTTCTATTTTTTTGGTGTATTCTGGACTAGAAACTGGTGCTCCAGCATACACATGTGCCCAAAGTCGAGCTGTCTGTTTGAACATTTCAGGATTTTGTTTGTACTATATGGGGGAAAAAAATTGATTGGCATGACAATGCAGTTATAATATTCAATATAGTAACTCGTCCTAATTGCCTAAAAACCTGATTTTTCAAGTAAAATGTAAATAAATGTAGATTCAATTTTAAAAATGTGACTGATTCACTTTCCACTGTAAACACACTATGTCACTCAAGAAAAGACTGTTTAACCTGAAGCTGTGATTCACAAGTTGCACTGAGGAAAGAAAAACAAAAGTAACACGTTTATCAACTTTAATCCCCAATTTCAACAAAGTAGCAGAAAACTAATACTAAATGGAGTTATTAGAGTTGTCTCTAAACACTGTGCCGTGGCAAACATTATAGAGATAAACAGAATTACTAGCTTCTAAAATTATGTGGACATTAATAAATGTGACCAACTTCTGTATCAATCATAGCTCAGGCTAGAATACAACTTGACTTCGCTGTTTTGCTAGAGCTGTATTAGTGTACAGTGATTTAAGAAAACCCCATATGCAAAGTCCTAACTTACAGCACATGTTTTGAGATGATTATGAACTCACCATAGAGTACTTTTTAAAAGGTAAGATTTTCCATATGCATTGGAAAGAAGTAAATTTATTCTCAAATATTCTGGGACTACCATTAATAAAGCCAAGTACAAATTTAAAATATTAAATTCACTTTAATATTTCTTAAGATGTTTTATACACTTGAAGTATTTCTATACATTAAAATGATAAATCTAGTTTCTACCATTATTAAAAGGAAATAAGTCAAACTACCGAACAGAGTTAGAAGAAAACTGAGTCCAACCTCAACCTTTGAGGCTCAGAACTCAACAGGAAATCAAAGCTGGAACTCAAGCCATGTTTCTGACTATCGAAAATGAACCAATAGCACACATATAACACGTTAAACCATAATTCTAAGCACTCTAAGGCAAATAATAGTAGAACACATTAACAAGGATTTATACAACATAAGGAGTGACGAACTTTTCAAAGGAAAGGAAGAAGTTTCTAAGAGGAAATGTTTTCTTAGGCAGAGGGAAAATGGCAGACTGGGTGAAATGACATGTAGGAATGACACCATCTTGAACAGTGTGAGTCTGAAGAACAGTAAGAATTTAGGAGATGAAACTGGGTTTATAGACAGTTCAAATCATGGCGGAACTCTTCAAACTAAACAATTTGGACTTACCAAGTAGGTGATAGTAAAGCTACTAATAGGTTTTTAACAGTAAAGTGAAATAAGATTTACACTTAATAAAGCTAACTGCTATCAGTGTAGAATATGAGGGAAAGAAGAAGCTGAGGTAGGGAGCTCCATCAGAGCAGTAAAATGAGAAATTTTTAAACATGTGAATTAAGTCAATCAGAGAAGTATTACGACAGAGAGATACTGGGATACGAGAGAAAAGGAGACATAGAGAAGTACTCCAAGTCTGTGACTGGGATATATAAATAAGCTGATTATATTACAGAAGTATGAACAGGTTCACAGGTTTAAGATTCTGCATTCAGTTTTGGGAATGCTGTACTAAGGTACCCATGGAACATTCATATAGAGCTCTCCACTTCCAAACAGGCTCTTGGGCTCAGGACAGAGGTCAAGCCTGAATATTGTTATCAACATACAGGTGGTAACATCAGCATGGATATGATCATCCAAGTGAGCATATAAAATGGTAAGTGAAAGAAACAATGTAAGAACTGAGAAAGTATATTTAAAAGGGAGGAGAGGTAATTCCTTGGTGGTCCAGTAATTAGGACTCCACACTTCCACTGCAGGGGGCACGGGTTCAATCCCTGGTTGGGGAACTAAGATCCCACAAGCCATGCAGTGTGGACAAGAAAAAAAAACAAAAACAGAGGGCCGCAGAGTGAAGAAGAGAAACAACTGTAGGAAGTAGGAGGGAACAACCACAACTACGAAGGTAGGAAAAGAGAGTAGTATCTCAGAAGTCAAGAGAAGAAAAAATTTCTGGGTTAAAAAACAAAAATAACAGGGCGTCCCTGGTGGCGCAGAGGTTGAGAGTCCGCCTGCTGATGCAGGGGACACAGGTTCGTGCACCAGTCCGGGAAGATCCCACATGCCGCGGAGCAGCTGGGCCCATGACCCATGGCCGCTGAGCCTGCGCGACCGGAGCCTGTGCTCCGCAACGGGAGAGGCCACAACAGTGAGAGGCCCGCATACTGCAAAAAAAATACAAAACACACAAGGCTCAATAAATCCTACTGGTTTAGAGCAGGGGTCCCCAACCCCCAGGCCGCGGACCAGTACCGATCCTCAGCCTGTTAGGAACCGGTCCACACAGCAGGAGGTGAGCAGCGAGCAAGCAAAGCTGCACCTGCCGCTCCCCATCACTCGCATCACCTCCTGAACCATCTCCACCCCACCCCCCACCCTCCACCACCGGTCCGAAGAAAAATTGCCTTCAATGAAACCAGTCCCTGGTTCCAAAATGGCTGGGAACCACTGGTTTAGAGTATGGGTTGGCAAACTTTCTTAAAGGACCAGAAAATAATTATTCAGGCTTTCAGACAATACTGTCTCTGTCATAATTATTCAATTCTGCCACTTGTAGCTGTAAACAAATGAGGGTGGCTATGTTCCAATAAAACATTATTTACATAAACAGTCAGTCTGGCAGTAATTTGCTAACCTCTGCCTTGGAAATCAAAGATCACAACTGAAAAATATTTATTCCATTTGGCAATTACAAGGTTTTTTTTTGTTTTTTGTTTTGGTACGTGGGCCTCTCACTGCTGTGGCCTCTCCCGCCGCAGAGCACAGGCTCCGGACACGCAGGCCCAGCGGCCATGGCCCACGGGCCCAGCCGCTCCACGGCACGTGGGATCCTCCCGGACCGGTGCACGAACCCGTGTGCCCTGAATCGGCAGGCGGACTCTCAACCACTGCGCCACCAGGGAAGCCCAATTACAAGGTTTTTGAGAACCTTCACCATGCAACTTCAGTGCCACAGTTGGAGCTGATTAACATTATCATGAGGGAAGGATCATCACTGAATTAAGAGACAGATAAATGGATACACACATGATAAAGCACATGAAGTAAAATGTTAATCACAGAATCAAGATGGTAGGTAGATATGTGGGTATTCACTGTGTAATTCTTTCAACATTGTGTGTTTGAAAACATAATGTTAGGAAAAAAGCATCTACCATATAAACAAACTACTGTGTTAAAAAAATCACAAAATTAGGTTTTCACTATTACGTCTGATACAATAATCTCACAGCAAGAAAGGAAACCATTTCCAAATTTACTTTCAATAGACGTATGCTTCTGCTCTAACCACTGCAAACCACTAAAGTAAACACTCATAGGAAAGTACAAGAAAGTCGTTCAAAAGCAGCTACCTTACCTGATTTGCTACTACTGCATCTTGTGGATCATCTGGTTCTGCAGCTGCCAGTAGTGCTTGCAATGACAATAATACCGTGCGGAGAGTCATTGCTGCTGCCCTGAAATTCAAAACAGGAAGATATCCCAGTTAAGAACACTTTGCATGACAAACCAAAATAGAGGTTTTCTGAATAAAACATGGAAACTACTGAAGCTAAAAATAATCTAGATTTTTATCTTAATCATATAATTAAATCTTAGAAATTTATAATTATATATCTGCCTACCTTTTTTTTTTTTTTTTTTTTAAAAAAAAAAAAAAAGGTAGGCAGATATATAATTATAAATTTCTAACATTTAATTATATGATTAAGATAAAAATCTAGATTTTTATCTTAATCATATAATTAAATGTTAGAAATTTATAATTATATATCTGCCTACCTTTTTTTTTTTTTTTTTTTTAAACAACAAATGAGTCCTTCTATTTCTTAAGACACCTCAAATTGCCCTTAATTGGCTTAGTTTTTTTCGTTTTGCCCGTGTTGTTGACAAATCCTTCTGGTCAGCTTTATCTACTGACTTACTTTTATCCATTTCTAGACACAAACTTAAAATGAAGTGATAAAGTAACATGTGAAACTTCCTTTCTGTGCAATTCTAAAAACAAGATATCATCAAGCAAATATCCTTTATTTTCAAGAAAGCATAAAATTACTTGGAGGGCATTATGCTAAGTGATATGTCAGATAAAGAAAGACAAATACTATGTATGATAGCACTTAAATATGAAATCTAAAAAATAAAACTAGAGAATATAACAAAAAAGAAGGAGACCCACAGAAAAAGGCAATAAGCCAGTGGTGAGCAGTGGGGAGAAAGAAGGAGGGAGGGGCAATATAGGGATGGGGTGTAAGAGGTACAAATTATTAACTATAAAATAAGCTACAAGGAAATACTGCACAACATGGGGAATACAGCCAATACTTTATAATAATAATAAATATATATTATTTTATAAGTATAAATGGAATATAACTTAAAAATTGTGTATCACTATATTGTACACCTGTAACTTATACTTTATACCTGTAATTAACATAAAATTGTACACCTGTAACATATAATATTGTACAGCACCTATACTTCAATAAAAAATGAAAGAAAATTAAAAAATCATTCTATAACATTCTGAAAAGGGAAAACTTTTTGCTTCATATACATAATATTCATGCCTCTAAATGTGTTTATAAAGCAAATATTTATCTAGAAAATGGTATCTACCTAACCAAAAAGGACTCTTAGCATTTCTGTTAAAAAATTACTTGACCACTTAATATACAAATATTTCTGAATACAATAGTGAAATAGCATAGTAGTAAACTATTTTAAATGTTGAAGATTATTTTTTAAGATGATAATATGGCTTTTATTCTTCAATTTGTTAATATGGTGTATCACACTGATTGATTTGCATATAAATAATGAATCCTTGCATCCCTGGGATAAATCCCACTTGATCATGGTGCATCATCCTTTTAATGTGTTGCTGGATTCTGTTTGCTAGGGATTTTTGCATCTGTGTTCATCAGTGATATTGGTCTGTAATTTTCTTTTTTTGTAGTCTCTTTGTCTGGTTTTGATATCAGGGTGATGGTGGCCTCATAGAATGAGTTTGGGTGTGTTCCTTCCTCTGCAATGTTTTGGAAGAGTTTGAGAAGGATGGGTGTTGGCTCTGCTCTAAATGTTTGATAGAAATCACCTGTGAAGCCATCTGGTCATGGACTTTTGTTGGAAGATTCTTTTTTTTTTTTTTGCAGTACGCAGACCTCTCACTGCTGTGGCCTCTCCCATTGCGGAGCACAGGCTCCAGACGTGCAGGCTCAGCGGCCATGGCTCACGGGCCCAGCGACTCCGCAGCATGTGGGATCTTCCCGGACTGGGGCACGAACCTGCGTCCCCAGCATCGGCAGGTGGACTCTCAACCACTGCGCCACTAGGGAAGCCCTGTTGGAAGATTTTTAATCACAATTTCATTACTTGTCATTGGTCTGTTCATATTTTCTATTTCTTCCTGGTTCAGTCTTGGAAGCTTATACCTTTCTAAGAATTTGTCCATTTCTTCCAGGTTGTCCATTTTATTGGCATAGAGTTGCTTGTAGTAGTCTCTTCGGCTGCTTTGTATTTCTGCTGTGTCTGTTGTAACTTCTCCTTTTTCATTTCTAATTTTATTGATTTGAGTCCTCTCCCTCTTTTTCTTGATGACTCTGGCTAAAGGTTCAGTGATTTTGTTTATCTTCTCAAAGAACCAGCTTTTAGTTTTATTGATCTTTGCTAATGTTTTCTTTGTTTCTATATTATTAATTTCTGCTCTGATCTTTACGATTTCTTTCCTTCTGCTAACTTTGGGTTTTGTTTGTTCTTCTTTCTCTAGTTCCTTTAGATGTAAGGTTAGGTTGTTTGAGATTTTTCTTGTCTCTTGAAGTAGGCTTCAAGTACTGCTATAAACTTCCCTCTTAGAACTGCTTTTGCTGCATCCCATAAGTTTTGTATCATTGTGTTTTCATTGTAATTTGTCTCCAGGTAGGTACTTTTTGATTTCCTCTTTGATGTCCTCACTGATCTCTTGGTTATTCAGTAACATATTGTTTAGCCTCCATGTGTTTGTGTTTTTTACACTTTTTTCCCCTATAAATGATTTCTAATCTCATAGCACTGTCGTCAGAAAAGATGCTTGATATGATTTCAATTTTCTTAAATTCACTGAGGCTTGATTTGTGACTCAAGATGTGATCTATCCTGGAGAATGTTCCATGTGCACTTGAGAAGAAAGTACAGTCTGCTGCTTTTGGATAGAATGTCCTATAAATATCAATTAAATCTATCTGCTCTATTGTGTCATACAACTGATATAAATATCAATTAAATCTATCTGCTTCTATTGTGTTTCCTTATTAATTTTCTGTTTTGATGATTTCTCCATTCGTGTAAGTGAGGTGTTAAAGTCCCCCAATATTACTGCGTTACTGGTGATTTCCTCTTTTACAGCTGTTAGCAGTTGCCTTATGTACTGAAGTGCTCCTATTTTGGGTGCAAATATGTTTACAATTGTTAAATCTTCTTCTCGAATTGATCCCTTGATCATTATGTACTGCCCTTCCTTCTCTCTTGTAACATTCTTTACTTTAAAGTCTATTTTCTCTAATATGAATATTGCTACTCCAGCTTTCTTCTGAGTTCCATTTGCATGGAATATCTCTTTCCATTCCCTTACTTTCAGTCTGTATGTGTCCTTAGGTCTGAAGTGGATCTCTTATAGACAGCATATATTTGGGTCTTGTTTTTGTATTCATTCAGCAAGCCTGTGTCTTTTGGTTGGAGCATTTAATCCATTCACGTTTAAGCTAATTATCGATATGTATGCTCCTATTACCATTTTGTTGATTGTTATGTTTTCGTTTTTCTTTGCAGTACGTGGGCCTCTCACTGTTGTGGCCTCTCCCGTTGCGGAACACAGGCTCCGGGTGTGCAGGCATAGCGGCCATGGCTCACGGGCCTAGCTGCTCCATGGCAATGTGGGATCTTCCCGGACCGGGTCACGGACCCGTGTCCCCTGCACCGGCAGGCAGACTCTCAACCACTGCGCCACCTGGGAAGGCCATGGGTTTGTTTTTATAGGTCCTTTTCTACTCGCGTTTCCCACTTAGAGAAGTTCCTTTAGCATCTGTTGTAGAGCTGGTTTAGTGGTGCTGAATTCTCTTAGCTTTTGCTTGTCTGTAAAGCTTCTGATTTCTCTGTCCAATCTGAATGAGATACTTGCTGGGTAACCCTGGTTGTAGATTCTTCCGTTTCATCACTTTAAATATATCATGCCACTCCCTTCTGGCTTGTAGAGTTTCTGCTGAGAAATCACCTTATGTTAACCTTATGGAGTTCCCTTGTATGTTATTTGCCGTTTTTCCCTTGCTGCTTTCAATAATTTTTCTTTGCCTTTAGTTTTTGGCAATTTGATTACTATGTGTCTTGGTGTGTTTCTCCTTGGGTTTATCCTGCCTGGGACTCTGCATTTCCTGGACTTGGGTGGCTATTTCCTTTCCCATGTTATGGAAGTTTCCGACTATAATCTCTTCAAATATTTTCTCGGATCCTTTCTCTTTCTCTTCTCCTCTGGGACCCGTATGATGAGAATGTTGTTGTGTTTAATGTTGTCCCAGAGGTCTCTTAAGCTGTACTCATTTCTTTCCATTCTTTTTTCTTTATTCTGTTCTACAGCAGTGAAATCCACTATTCTGTCTTCCAGGTTACTTATCTGTTCTTCTGCCTCAGTTATTCTGCTATTGATTCCTTCTAGTGAATTTTTCATTTCAGTTATTGTATTGTTCATTTCTGTTTGTTTGTTCTTTAATTCTTCTAGGTCTTTGTTAAACATTTCTTGCATCTTCTCGATCTTTGCCTCCATTCTTTATGAGGTCCTGGATCATCTTCACTATCATTATTCTGAATTCTTTTTCTGGAAGGTTGTCTATCTCCACTTCATTTAGTTGTTTTTCTGGGGTTTTATCTTGTTCCTTCATCTGGTACAAAGTCCTCTGCCTTTTCATTTTGTGTATCTTTTTGTGAATGTGGTTTTCCTTCCACAGGCTGCAGAACTGTAGTTCTTCTTGCTTCTGCTAAATGTTGAAGATTACTAAAGAACATGCCCATTTTCACCACACAAATTAGATAATTCTAAACCAGTCTTTTTCAACTGGATTCCTCATTTTAACCACAGAACAGAGAAAATTACTAAGTATTTTCTCAATTTCCCCAGGGATGGTATATAAATAGTACCATCCTGGATGCTTAGGAAAAAAGTTAATTTATTATCAACAACAAATGTCTTAAGGAAATGTGTCTCACACCGTGTGCTTTCTTCAACCGGTAGCAGCAACATCACTTGGGAACTTCTACAAAATGAAATTTCTTAGCCCTGTCCCAGACCTACTGAATCAGAAACTCTGGGGTGGCTTAACAGATACTCCAAGTAATTCTAATGTGAACTAATTTTTGAGAAATACTACTTCAGTGCATTACGGCTTAAAGTGAATTGAGAAAGGCTGTTCTAAACCAATAAAATTAA